AGTTTTCCTATGTTAGCATCCCAGCTATGTGACAGAGCTGACAGGTCGAATCAGGGCAAAATCCTCGCCTGATAAACATGAGGTCCAAGACTCGGCCAACTTTGTAGGCTTTTTTCCAGACTTTGTGTGGACTCTGAGAGATTTCTCCCTGGAGCTGGAAGCAGATGGACAGCCCATCACTGCTGATGAATACCTGGAGAATTCACTGAAGCTAAAGCAAGGTTACTAGGACTCATGGTTGGGAAACAAAAAAAGAGAAAACAGTATCAGAATGACCATTTCAATGTAGATGCTGAAAATTATAATTTTATAGCTTTGTTATCCTGGCTGTTCTATTAGAGGAAATGAAACGTTTCTTAGATAAATCAGTGCGATCTAATTTTAAGTTACTTCCTTCTTGGAGAAGGAAAGAAATTTCATTCCTCTACCCCTTTAATTATTGGGTCTGATCCATTATTAGTTAATTTTTACCTCTTTATATAGAATTTGTGCAAATTACAAAGTTGAAGGGTATATATCTGAAGTAGCCTGAAGTTGTAAAACCTCTGATTTTCTTTCCTCTAGGAAATGATAAAAAAACTAAAAATTTTAATGAACCTCGGTTATGTATCCGAAACTTCTTCCCAGAGAAGAAGTGCTTCATCTTTGATCGCCCTGCTCATAGGAAGTACCTCATCCACCTGGAACAGCTCCAAGAGGAAGATCTGAACCCTGAATTCAGAGAACAAGTTGCAGACTTCTGCTTCTACATCCTCAGCCATTCCAAGGCCAAGACTCTCTCAGGCGGTATCACAGTCAATGGGCCTCGTGAGTCCCTCTTATTCTCTTTCCTTACCCGGACTCCCCTACTGCCCATTGTAGACAACAGAAGTGGGAGGCACAAGGATTACTTCTGACAAATACAGAGTCTAATGATGCCAAGGAAAACACACCACAAGGGTCACATTGTGAATTTTACATATGAACTAAAATTATTTCTGGTATTATCTAATATTCACATGAGTCAGATGAACAAAGAGAAAGAACTAGAATCTAATCCTGGTGTAGTAACTTTCTCCACCAACTTCTCAACTCCCTTTTTATGAAATTTCCTTCCAGGAGAGGTGTATTACTGACAAAGTCAGGAAAAGGCAAATATTCCATGTATGTGAGGCTTTGCCTTTCACCTTAACACAATTCTCTTGTTAATCAATGCAAAAATGTGTGGTTAGGCACTGATTAGGAGTGCCTGCCATGTACCAACCACTGGGCATAATCCTCATTCCAACATGAAGGGAACAAAAGGTACTTAAACAATTTATCTAACCCTAATGATTAAACACTGATAAGTACAGGGAACCATAACTGAAAGGACCTGTGGGTGACTTGAGAGAGGTGAAAGTCTGAGCCCACAAAAAGATCTTGAGGAATGACAGGCAAAGAGGTAAAGATATGTAATTTATGTTTCATACAGTCCTTCAGAATGTTTTATAGATAATGTGCTGGAGAGGTGTACATGAAGCAACAAGAAGATGAATGGCACTTTCAACATTTTTTAATAAATGGCGCCTATGTGGGCTAAGATAGTGGCAATAGAGACAGTCAAAATTAACAGAATCCTCACATATTTTGAATGTCAGATCCATACATTTTGATGATGGAAGGCATGTGGGTGTGTGGAAGAAATGATATGGCAGTGTTAAGCTGACTCCAGGATTCTGAGCTTAAGCAACTACTTGAACAGATGTTATTTACTAAAAGAAATATATGGAGGAGGAATAGTTTTCCAGAATGGATGAAGTTGTTTGGATCTGGATTATTTAGTATTGATTTTCCTTCCTGCCAATGCAGGAGACATAAGAGACTTGAGTTTAACCCCTGGGTTGGGAAGATCCCCTGGTGGAGGAAATGGCAACCCACACCAGCATTCTTGCCTAGAGAATCCCATGGACAGAGGACCCTGGCAGGCTACAGTCCATAGGGTCACAAAAAGTCAACATGCCTGAAGTGACTTTGCACACATGCCTATAAGTGATATCATATGATATTTGTCTTTCACTGTCTGAGTATTTCATTTAGTATGATGATCTCTAGGTCCATTTATGTTGCTGCAAATCACATTGTTTCATTTTTAGGGCTGAGTAACATTCCATTGTATATATGTACCATATTGTCTTTATCCATTCATTGTTGATGGACATTTGGTTGCTTCTGTGTCCTGACTGGGGCTTCCCTGGTGGCTTAGTGATAAAGAATCCACCTGCAATGAGGGAGACCTAGGTTTGATCCCTGGGTCAGGAAGATTCCCCTGGAGGAGGGTACAGCAACCCACTCCAGTATTCATGTCTGGAGAATCCCATGGACAGAGGGGTCTTGTGGGCTACAACCCATAGGGTCGCAGAGTCAGACATGACTAAAGTGACTGAGCAAGTCCTTACTATTTTAGTGCTACTGTTAATATTGGTGTGCATGCATCTTTTCATATAATAGTTTTCTCTGTATATATGCCCAAGATTAGGATTGCAGGGTCATAAGGGGACTCTATTTTTCATTTTTTAGGGAACCTCCATAATGTTCTCTATAGTGACTGCATCAATTTACATTCCCATCAACAGTGTACAAGGGTCCCCTTTTCTTCACACCCTCTCCAGTATTTGGTATTTGTAGACCTTTGAACAATGGCATTCTGACCAGTATGAGGTGATAGCTTATTGTAGTCAAGAACTAGTAGTTGTAGGGCCACAAACCACTCCAGTTTCCCAAGGCTGGGATTTCCTGGTATGTAAGACTACCAGTGTTAAAACCAGAATTCCCTGGCACACTTGGATGAATTGATCACACTGCATGGAGCTCTGATGAAAGAACATCTAGGAAGACCCTCTTATTTTGGCCAGACCCAGAACTAGTGATATGCATCACATGTACACATACATTTACACACACACATGCTTGTGTACATTAAAATGTCTCCTTGACCTTTAAATTACTTAGAATTGAGAAGGGAAGGGGAACTCATTTAGAAAAGGAAGGGAGATTCAGGAAGGCTAAGAAAAGATTAAGACTCACCATCTTGCTTTAACCTATTCATTCCAATAGCTTCCACTTGGGTGAAGGAAGGAGGAAAGTGAAGCTTTAAACTCTTCTGAACCTAGAGGATAACAAAATATCCCATCACAATTCTTCTTAAAAATTCTTAAAACTACTGTTTGTAACACCTGAAAAGCATAAAAAGTGCACTATCAGTTGACTCAGAATGATTACATTTGCATGCTCAGGACTAAACTAACACAGCTTGTTCCTCTGTCTCACCAACGCTTAGTCACTGTTTTCTAAATTCCCTTCATAGGTCTAGAGAGCCTGGTGCTGACCTATGTCAATGCCATCAGCAGTGGGGATCTGCCCTGCATGGAGAATGCAGTCCTGGCCTTGGCCGAGACCGAGAACTTGGCCGCAGTGCAAAAGGCCATTGCCCACTATGACCAGCAGATGGGCCAGAAGCTGAAGTTGCCCACGGAAACCCTCCAGGAGTTGCTGGACCTGCACAGGGCCACTGAGAAAGAGGCCATTGAAGTCTTCATGAAGAACTCTTTCAAGGATGTCGACCAAGTGTTCCAAAAAAAATTAGGGGTATGTTTCCTATTCTGGTTAATGACAGGATGAAAAATCTGGGCCTTTCTCTTCTTTGTTTTTAATTGGAAGATAAGTGCTTTACAATATTGTATTGGTTTCTTCCACACAACAATGTGAATAAGCCTTTCTTGCTACAAGTAGTCCTCCCAGAAACAAGGGATAGCAGCCCTCAGTTATATGTACTCATTTGCACTCTTTACTAAAAGAGTAGACTGCTCTTAGCCTTAGTCCTGGAGACTATGGTACCACGACCAACTATGGTTATTAAAAATATCCTCATCTGTTAATCTCTAACCTATAGATGCCATATTTTAATCAAACAAGTAAACTGTAAGACTGCATTTACATAAGATTATTTTATTTTTTTATTTAAAGTTAGTCAAAGATACAGTGCTTTCATATTCCCTGCTAATAATATAGGAGGATTTGCTTCTTTGTGAAAATCCTAAAAACATATTGTGCTTAATGTAAAGCAACAATAAATATTCAGAAAGACAAGAAAGAGAAATCAATCACTAGAATGCTATTTGAGGACTTGAGTCTGAGTTCTTTAAAATTAAGGGAGGATTGTTGTATGACAAATTGTCATTTGACAGATGACAATCCCTTCCCTGACTTGTAGGGCAGAATTTTACAAATCATACCTTCCGGCTTTCAAAGGTTCTGATAAAACTAAATAGTGAAGGTCAGCAGACTATGGATGTCTTCTTAGACCAAAGAAACATGCAAGTTCTCTTCTATAATTGAATGCAGGTAAAAATGCTGTTGTGTAGGCTTTCTCCATACAAACATTAACTGCAGTACAATCTCCATTACCTTCATTAGCCTTATATTGAGAAAATATGCCAAAATACTATTATTTTAAACAATGTACCACTAATCATTGACCCTTTTGAACACTTACAGAGAAGTCACTGGGCTTAACACTTTATATCACTGCATATAATCCTGACAGGGAATCTATAAGACAGATACAGTTTCCTGTGTTTTAACAAAGAAATCTCATTTCATGAAGGTTGAGTGTCACCAAGTCACAAATTGGTGGAACCATAAACTTTCTTCAGGCCTGCCATACTGGACAATTTTGTGGTAAACTATTAGGGACTTAAAAAGAGAAGTTTCAAATGGAGCAGTGTTTATGATTTGAGAATCATTCTCTGAAGCTTAAAAAAAAATGGGGAAAAAAGCTTCAGATAAGCACAAAGAGAAGTAGATGTATTTTTTAAACCAACACTCTATCTAACAATTTTCTATAATCTCCCAACATGATGAGGGGTGTGTTATATTTATGTGCCACATTCTCTGCAGGAGAAGCATTTCCCAGTAATCCACCTTGGTTCACATCCTCATTATGGCTCATGGTACCATTTGTGCTATTTTTCACCTCACAGGACAAGTTAGAAGCAAAGCGAGATGAGTTTTGTAGACAGAACATGAAAGCATCCTCAGATTACTGCATGGCTTTAATTCATGATATTTTTCATCCTCTATATGAAGATGTGAAGCAGGGAACATTTTCTAAACCAGGAGGTTATTATCTATTTATTAAGAAGATGAATGAGCTGAAGGATAAGTACCACCAGGTCCCCAGAAAGGGGGTACAGGTAAGCTACCTACTGATCACCATTTCTGGGGCCTCGCTGATGTGACTCTTTCAAACTACAGTGGGAACAACAAAAATGCAATGGGTAAATGGTGCCTGTGGCTTTCATTGACTATTCACTGACTTATTCAATAGGATAAATTACCATGAGATGAATAGCAGATTCATCCCATGGTAGTGCTTCTTGGAAGCACAGATGGGAGCCCTCAAAAACTTTTGCAGAATTTATTCAATAATTTAGTCATTCTATCATCCAAAAATTCTCTACTCAGGCCTAACTATATATCTATAACTGGGATTAGTGCAGTTTAAAAACAAGCAAGTTCTTTCAAAGTATTCATCAACAATCAACAAAGTATAGCTTACAGCAAATCTAATAATAATAGCAGTTCACCTATAGAGCTATTTTGTGTTAGAAAACAAATGGGCTTAACTCATTCAATCCTCACAAGAGCACTATGAAGTACATGATATCAATGTCCTCATTTTATAAATAAGAAAACTGAGGGAAGTAAAATAACTCACCTAAGATATACAGGTAATAAGTGGTACAGCTGAAATGGAAACTCAAATAGGAAATTCTGGGCTCGTAACTATGCTTCTGTGCCAGTATACTCAGGTTATATCAGTTAGAATTAGGTTTGGACACATATGTTTTTTCCCAATTATTTTATTAGTTGGAGGCTAATTACTTTACAATATTGTAGTGGTTTTTGTCATACATTGACATGAATCAGCCATGGATTTACATGTGTTCCCCATCCTGAACCCCCCTCCCACCTCCTTCCCCATCTCATCCCTCTGGGTCATCCCAGGGCACCAGCCCCAAACACTTGTCTCATGCATCCAATCTGGGCTGGCGATCTGTTTCACACTTGATAATATACATGTTTCGATGCTGTTCTCTCAGATCATCCCACCCTCACCTTCTCCCATAGAGTCCAAAAGTTTGTTCTATACATCTGTGTCTCTTTTTCTGTCTTGCATATAGGGTTATCGCTACCATCTTTCTAAATTCCATATATATCCATTAGTATACTGTATTGGTGTTTATCTTTCTGACTTACTTCACTCTCTATAATGGAGCCCATTTTATCCATCTCATTAGAACCGATTCAAATGTATTCTTTTTAATGGCTGAGCAATATTCCATTGTGTATATGTACCACAGCTTCCTTATCCATTCGTCTGCTGATGGGCATCTAGGTTGCTTCCATGTCCTGGCTATTATAAACAGTGCTGCGATGAACATTGGGGTACACATGTCTCTTTCAGATCTAGTTTCCTCGGTGCATATGCCCAGGAGTGGGATTGCTGGGTCATATGGCAGTTCTATTTCCAGTTTTTTAGGGAATCTCCACACTGTTCTCCATAGTGGCTGTACTAGTTTGCATTCCCACCAACAGTGTAAGAGGGTTCCCTTTTCTCCACACCCTCTCCAGCATTTATAACTTGTAGACTTTTGGATAGCAGCCATCCTGACTAGCGTGTAATGGTACCTCATTGAGGTTTTGATTTGCATTTCTCTGATAATGAGTGATGTTGAGCATCTTTTCATGTGTTTGTTAGCCATCTGTGTCTTTTTTGGAGAAATGTCTGTTAAGATCTTTGTGGGCACATATTATTTAAAAACGAAACAAGAATGCCTTAAGAACACAGAAGTTTCTTTCTCTCTTATATACAAGAAGTAAGGCAGAGGGGTCCAGGCTGCTATGACAATTCCACAATCATGCTGTTCCCAGACTCTCCTGTTCTGCTCCAGCACCTTAGCACCCAGCCTCCATCTTCAAGGTCAATTCATGGTGTAAGATGGCTGTTGGAGTTTCACCCATTCCTTCCATATTACAGATGGGAAGAAAAGGGGAAAACAGAAGAGTAAAAGGTCTCTGAATCAACTCTCTTTAAGGTGATCTGCAAAAAGCCCAATATAATACCATTGCATAAGTGGTATTAGCCAAATTCTAATCTTATGGCCACCTCCAGCTACCAGGGAGGTTGTCTAAAAAAAATGCAGTATTTTATCATGGCCTATGATGCCCTGATTGGGAAAAAAAAATAGGTTCTATTACTAAGAATGAAGGGGAGAAAAATATTAGGGTGACTCTAGAAGTTGCTGTCACAGAGACAAAAATTGCCCTGAAGAAAAATAAAGTAGGGTACAGGTCTAGGAAAGGAAGGGAACATGGTCCTATTTTATATGTAGAATTTTAGAGAGGACCTCTCTGGTGAGGTGCTGCTTCAACAGTTTTCAAGGAAGTCAGGAAGTAAGCCAAGTGAGCATCTAAAAGAAGATAATTTCAAACAATAGAAAATCCCAGAAGGATGAATTGGTTTATGTCCAGCAAATGTGGCAAGAGGGCAATGAGCAAAGAAAGGGGTGGCAGGAGGTAAGGTCAAGAGATGCTCAAGGCCAGAGGATAACCAGATAGTATCCTGGAGGGCCCTGAGAGTAGTTTCAGTTTTACTTGAAAAGAGTTGGAAAATCAGCAGAGGATTTAGTGCATCAGAGTGAAGTGATCTTTCTTAAAGTGATATGACGCTAGCTGCTCTCAGGAAATCAGACTGTAGCGGAGCAAGAGGAGAAGGAAGTAGGGAGACCAATTATGAATCTAATACCATGGTCTAGGCAAGAAGAGATACTATCCTGGACCAGTGTGTTTGGGAGGAATATGTTACAACTGATGGGCTCTTGCTGGTTTTATTTTGAAGCCAAAGCAAATACCATTAGCTGATGTAAAGAACAGCCATAAGGTTTGTAATCCATACAATTAGAAGATAAGCTTTACTGATTACATTTCTAACATTGGGGTGACTGAGAATGAGGAAAATTTGAGGGTGGATCTAGAGTTGGGTTTTAAGCCAGTTTGAGATAGTATTCATTAATAAATTCTAAAATGTATAAAATGAAATTGAGTTGAAACATGTACTGCTAAATTTTCCTTTAACCCATAATCTCTATTTCCTAATTCTAATTTGGTCTGCATCAATAGACAGAAGAGACACTGAGGAAATATTTGGATTCCAAAGAGGATGTGGCTGATGCACTTCTACAGACTGATCAGTCGCTGACAGAAAAGGAAAAAGAGATTGAAGGTGAGAACAGCTGAAAACCCTCTGCTGCTGCTAAGTCGCTTCAGTTGTGTCTGACTCTTATGTGTGGCCCCATAGACAGCAGCCCACCAGGCTCCCCCATCCCTGGGATTCTCCAGGCAAGAACACTGGAGTGGATTGCCATTTCCTTCTCTATTGAAAGTGAAAAGTGAAAGATGAAAGTGCAGTTGCTCAGTCGTGTCTGACTCTTAGCAACCTCATGGACTGCAGCCTACCAGGCTCCTCCATCCCTGGGATGCTCAAGGCAAGAACACTGGAGTGGGTTGCCATGGCCTCCTCCAGGGAATCTCCACCAAGGGATCCAACTCACATCTCCTGCATTGGCAGTCAGATTCTGATTGCTCAGTGCAAAAGTAAACACAAGAGTCTTTCTTCATGAGACAAGCAAACAAGTAAAAAGGGTGAAAGCAGAAATAAAGCTATAAAAATAAATTAATATTCTCATATTTCTCTGCTTATTTTTCTTCTTAAGTGGAACGTATGAAGTCTGAAGCTGCAGAAGCTGCAAACAAAATGTTAGAGGAAATGCAAAAGAAGAATGAACAGATGATGCAAGAAAAAGAAGCGAGTTATCAGGAACATATGAAGCAACTGACTGAGAAGATGGAAAAGGAGAGGGCCCAGTTAATAGCAGACCAAGAGAGGGTTCTAGCCCTTAAACTTCAGGTATTCAACTGTAGCATCTCCATTCTACCTTCCACTGTGCTGAATCAAAAGCTCTTAAAAGTTAGAGCATTATATCAGTTAAAGGACTGTTCTAGCCCAAACACTAGTAGACATTTCATTCCCTTACTGCTTCTACCCCTAACCATCTCTGGTTATTGAAGTCTATCTTGTTGTTTAGTTGCTAAGTTGTCCCTGACCCCTTTGTGACCCCATGGACTGTAGCCTACCAGACTCCTCTGTCCATGAGATTTTCCAGACAAAAATACTGGAGTGAGTTGCTCCAGGGGATTTTCCCGACCCAGGGATAAAACACAGGTCTTCTGCATTTCAGGCAGATTCTCTACCATCTGAGACACCAGGAAATTCCATAGCGTACAATTAACTGCATACCCAGGCTGCTAGTTTCTTCCTACTCTCCAGGCTGTTCTCCAGGCAGCTCTCCAAATCTGTGCTGAATCGGGATGTCTACCCTGTAATATAGAATGGACCAGTGTAGGCTTTACCTCCTCAACTTATTTCTGTTATCTCTGCTACCAAAATTTGGATACTTGTACTAAATTCCATGATCAAACACCTGCTTTGATTCTGAATTTTGTAGTAACCTTCCTATGGTGTTCTTCATCTTCCTTGCCTTCTTTGATATACATTTGGGAGTTCATGTGATAGAGAGCTGAGATAGAAAAGGACAGTTTTTCTTTAAAGACTGTTGTATCAGGTTGAAGGAGATAAAAAATTAATTCTAGGGGTCACTAATATTTTAGAAACCATAAGAGAAAAATATTTCTGAAGCTAAATAAATCCCAGAAAAATTTTGATAGTAGACTTAAGAAAGAGGGATATAATGAAAATTAAAGGAGGAAAAGATTTCAAAAAGAAGTTTCACAACCCATGAGGGATTAATATAGGTATAATTTCTCAAGTGTGGGAAATGTTTTAAGTTGTATGTTCAGTCTCCACTTTCTTTTTTAGGAACAGGGACGACTTCTCCAGGAGGGATTCCAAAAGGAGAGCATGAAACTTCATGAAGAGATTGTAGCCCTCCAGAAGAAACAGGATGTACCACCACCGTGTAATATTCTCTAAAAACTAAGACCAGAATTTCCTAACCAGCTTCTGTCTGTTAAGAACAAGTTGAATGAGCACCTTCAAGATGTCAAACAATTGCCACTAAACTTGAAGTCATAAGATGCATTTTCATTGAGGCTTAAAGTTTGCAAAGATGAAATAAAATGTGAAGACAGTGTTTAACGTATAGAAGAATTCAATTCATGATTAAATACAGTATAAATGACTAGTATGATACCTCAGTAGAACCTATATTTGAAATCAAGCATATTGATTCTAGAGAGACTTTTAATTGTGTAACTGGGATACATTTACATCCAATTTCAGAATATCAGAGGTGTTCTATTCAGTGTAGACTGTTTCCCCACACCTAAACCACCCCTCTAGGTATCCTCAGCTCCATGGTCTTACTCAAGGATTTACTTTGGTACTGGGATGGAGTTGGAGTGTTGTGTACACAGGAAAAGTCTGATGGGAGTGTACAAAGTCATGGAGCACAGTTAAGCATCACTCCTGCCAAGCAGTCACTAGGTCACATGATGGCTTCCGATAAGGGAGACCTGGAACAATTAACTTCAGGGTGCAGACAGTGTACAATTCTCCACTGGGTGGAGGCTGCATTGCTGGGGTCACTGATGGGATTCCTGAGCACTGGTAGGGGAATTACTTGCACCTGTGTGAAATGGATATATGAGTGGATGTTCAACCTTCTTTGTCTAGAGAATCCCTCAAGATAATTACTGCCCCATTTCTAGGCCACACAATGTCTCTCTATTTTACTCTTCTTTTCTTGGTTCCCCTCACCCACAGTTCCAAGAATAACTTCTACAATCACAAAAAGGAAACTTTAGCTCATAATTCCTTTCTATTCCTCTGAGAATCATAGCTATAATTCTTCAAAACCTTACTTAACTCCATTTTTCAGTGATAAGACCATACCCATGCAAAAGAAATGCAAAAAGGCAAAATGGTTGTCGGACGAGGCCTTACATATAGCTGAGAAAAGAAGAGAAGTGAAAGGCAAAGGAGAAAAGGAAAGATATACCCATTTGAATGCAGAGTTCCAAAGAATAGCAAGGAGAAATAAGAAAGACTTCCTTGGTGATCAATGCAAAGAAATAGAGGAAAATAAAAGAATGGGAAAGACTAGCGATCTCTTCAAGAAAATTAGAGCTACCAAGGGAATATTTCATGCAAAGATAGGCAGAATAAAGGACAGAAATTGTATGGACCTAACAGAAGCTGAAGATATTAAGAAAAGGTGATAAGAATACACAGAAGAGCAATACAAAACAAGATCTTCATGATGCAGATAACCATGATACTGTGATCACTCACCTAGAGCCAGACATCCTGAAGTCTGCAGTCAAGTGGTCCTTTGGAGACATCACCATGAACAAAGCTAGTGGAGGTGATGGAATTCCAGTTGAGCTATTTCAAATCCTAAAAGATGATGCTGTGAAAGTGCTGCACTCAGTATGCCAACAAATTTGGATAACTCAGCAAGGCCGAATTTGGATAAAACAGGACTGGAAAAAGGTCAGTTTTCATTTCAATCCCAAAGAAAGGCAATGCCGAAGAATGTTCTAGGTACCACACAGCTGCACTCATCTTACTCTCTAGCAAAGTAATGCTCAAAATTCTCCAAGCCAGGCTTCAACAATAGGTGAACCGTGACCTTCCAGATGTTCAAGCTGGTTTTAGAAAAGGCAGAGGAACCAGAGATCAAAATGCTAACATCCACTGGATCATCAAAAAAGCAACAGAGTTCCAGAAAAATATCTATTTCTGCTTTATTGACTATGTTAAAGCCTTTGACTGTATGGATCACCACAAACTGTGGAATTTTCTTCAAGAGATGGGAATACCAGGCCACCTGACCTGCCTGAGAAATCTGTATGCAGGTCAGGAAGCAACAGTTAGAACTGGACATGGAATAATAGACTGGTTCCAAATCGAGAAAGGATTTTGTCAAGGCTGTATATTGTCACCCTGCTTATTTAACTTATATGCAGAGTATACCAGACGAAATGCAGACTGGATGAAGCACAAGCTGGAATCAAGATTGCTGGGAGAAATATCAATAACCTCACATATGCACATGACACCACCCTTAAGACAGAAAGCAAAGAGGAATTAAAGAGCCTCTTGATGAAAGTGAAAGAAGACAGTGAAAAAGTTGGCTTAAAACTCAACATTCAGAAAACTAAGATCATAGCATCCAGTCCAATCACTTCTGGCAAATAGATGGGGAAACAATGGAAACAGTGACAGACTTTATTTTTGGAGGGGCTCCAAAACCACTGCAGATGGTGATTGCAGCCATGATATTAAAAGATGCTTGCTCTTTGGAAGAAAAACTGTGATCAACCTAGACAGCACTTTAAAAAGCAGAGATACTACTTTGCCAACAAAAGTCTGTCTAGTCAAAGCTATGGCTTTTCCGTTAGTTATGTATGGATGTGAGAGTTGGACTGTAAAGAAAGCTGAGTGCCAAAGAGTTGATGTTTTAGAACTGTGGTGTTAGAGAAGACTCTTGAGAGTCCCCTGGACTGCAAGGAGATCAAACCAGTCAATCCTAAAGGAAATTTGTCCTGAATATTCATTGGAAGGACTGATGTTGAAACTGAAACTCCAATACTTTGGCCACCTGATGTGAAGAACTGACTCATTGGGAAAGACCCTGATGCTGGGAAAGATTGAAGGCAGGATGAGAAGGATAAGATGGTTGGATGGCATCACCCACTTGATGGACATGAGTTTGAGCAAGCTCCAGCAGTTGGTGATGGATGGGAAGCCTGGCGTGCTGCAGTCCATGGTGTCGCAGAGTCGGTCACGACTGAGAGACTGAACTGAACTGAACTGATGTTATCTACAGTCATCTATATATATCATATAAGATATATACTATAATCTATATATACCCTATATGATATACCATAATCTCCATTCCTTTAGTCTACCTTTGTCTTCATATTTAAAGTGGGTTTCTTGTACACAACAGATAATTGAGTCCTGGGTTTTTAATACACTCTGGCAGTCTCTGTCTTTTAATTGGTGTATTTAGACCATTGATATTGAAATTGATTACTGATATAGTAGGATTAATATCCACCTTACTTGATACTTTTTGCTCTTCATTGCCCAATCTTTGTCACTACTTTATCTTTCAGTCCTTTCTAACTTTTGGTTTTAATTACACATTTTATGTGATTCCATTTTCTATCCTTTCTTAGCATAGCAATCATACTTCTTAAAAAAAATTTTAAAACTCTTTACCCTAAAGATTGCAATATACATTTCTGAACAGTTCATGTTCAGTGTCAGTTAACACTATACCACATCACCAATAGCACAAGCACCTTAAAATAACAAAATATTCCTAATTCTTCTCTCTGGTCTTTTGTATCATTGCTATAATTCATTTCACTCATACATACACTACAATCTTCAAATACACTGGTGCTATTATTGTTTTAATAAATTGTTGTATGTTAGATCAACTTAGAATAAGAAAAATATATTTTTATTTTCTTGCCATTTATTCCTCCTTCAGTGCTCTTCTATTCTTTATGTAGATCCAAATTTCTGATATATCATTTTCCTCCTCTGAAGAACCTTAAACATTTCTTACAAATCAGGGTTCCTGGTGACAGATTCCCTCAATTTTTGCTTGTCTGAGGAAGTACTTATTTCTTCTTCACTCAGAGGAATAATTTCAGTAGATACAGAATTCTAATTTGGTGTTACTATTTCTTTTGAGACTTTAATTATTTCACTCCATTCTCTTTTTTTTTTTTTTTAGGTTTTTTTTTCCCCATTTATTTTTATTAGTTGGAGGCTAATTACTTTACATCATTGCAGTGGTTTTTGTCATACACTGAAATGAATTAGCCATGGATTTACATGTATTCCCCATCCCGGTCCCCCCTCCCACCTCCCTCTCCACCCGATCCCTCTGTATGCTTTCAAAGGAGAAGCATGTTGCTTCAAAGCATATTGCTTGTATGCTTTCAAAGGAGAAGTCTGATATAATTATTAACCTAGTGCCTCTGTGAGTAAAATAAAATCTCTTTGGCTTATTTCAAGATTTTCTCTTTGCCTTTGATTTTCTGTAGTTGACTATGATGTGCTCTTCAATCTGAAAAGTTTCTGTTGACACACCTCCAAATTCACTGAGTCCATCCCAATCATGTTCAGTCTACTGATGAATCCACCAAAGACATTCTTCATTCTGTCACCATGTTTTTAGTTTCTTGTATTTCCTTAAAACTGTGGGAGTTTCCATTTCTCTCTCTTTATTACTCACTTGTTCATTCATGTTTTCCTCTTTCTCCATTAGATTTCTTAGCATATTAATCACAGTAATTTTAAATTTAGCTGTCTGATAATCTGTAAATTTCTGCCATGTCTGAGTCTGGTTTTGATACTTGATTTGACTCTTCAGACTGTTTTTAGGTCTTTTAGCATGTCTAGTAATTTTTTGTTGAAAGCTGGCATAGTTTAATATTTTGAAGGACCTGAGGTAAATGTGTCTATGGTGTGAGGTTTTATGTTAACTGTCTACAGCTTAGATTGTGTTTACCACTAGTTTTGGCTGCTGTGTCAGGAAATAAAATTCCCTTACTGTTAATGTTTTGTTTTGTTTGGGGTTCTGTGAACCTTTGATTGTCCATTTGTCTCTTTTATTAATTTTGGGAAATTTTCTCTTTAAGTATATTTCCTGCCTCTTTCTTTATTTCTTCTACTTTTATTTTTCCAGTTACATGCACAAGAAAATTTTTGTCATTGTACTGGGGGATATCCTAAACTATTGAAGGCTTAGAATATTTTTTTCTCTTTATTTCTATGTTTCCATGTGGTTAATGACTATTGATCTATCTCAGATTGTATGGTTCTTTCCACCAATTTGTTCACATATTTTCTGTTAATTCCTTTAAAAGAATTCTTAGTCACTGATACTGTGCTTTACTTTTATAGGATTTCCACTTAACTATTAATA